CATCTTGTCCTAGCATTCCTTCTATTTCACATCCACGAACATACGTCACCTGAGACAGAATGATAGTAATTTAAAAAGTGACAAACTCTGGAATTACCTGTATCTGATCCTTGAATGGCTTTCTGACGTCATACTTTGTACCAACAGGTTGAGTCGACCGGCAAGTGACCAAGAAGCACACATCATGTTTCCTGAGACCTGTAAACCCACATTAGAACATTTGCATACATGGACAGCTCCGATTTAGAAGAGCCACACGTGACAAGTGCATCAAATGAGCTTACACGCCCTCGCGCTGCACTTACACCATGCTGATGCAATAGCTAAACCATGCGACAGGGTGATGCAAACATATGTAGCGATGATACAGCGATTGAATTTAGGCCAAACAAAACCGGGAAAAGCATTCACTCACTTTCCCATTCTTGTCTGATGTCGACCCGTCTTCCCACGTTGACAGCAAATTCTCCTTTTACTACAGATGGACTCTTGTCGCCAACAAATGGTTTTCCAACCTGAAAAGTATGTCATAGTATGAGTGCATAACAAAAAAATGAGCACGAATGATGGTGTAAAAGCCTGAACAGGTAACTCATTCTAAAAGTTTACGTAATTTTTAAGCCTTTCGGACCGTGGTAGGGAATTTCAAAGTACAAAATAAATTCAAAACCGAAAGATCAAAAATTAAATTGAAGTAGATTATATGTTCGAAAAGGCTCCAAACCCCGTTATAATGTTATGCACATGGTAGTATGTCAAAAACATTATAAAGAAGGTTTCTTTGTCTACGGGAAAAATTATAGGTCCAAAAGGAAAATTTCTAAAAGTGTCAAGAGAAAAATTGTTCGAAATCACTCAAAATGTAGGAAACAGAACAAAGAATTAAGAACGTACCTCAACAATTTGGAATGAATCTAATAACAAAGCCATCCGAGCCCATCCACCCCAAACAGTTTCATTTCGGCTCTCATGTCGCCATGGTTTCATTCTGAACAGCACATCTTCCAGATCTTGCCGAATTTCATCTAGATATGGAAATTCCATCAGTTCCGACAAGAATTGCATGAAATGAGCACTGACAAAGCTTTGCATACAAAAACTGCAAGAAAAGGCATACTCACAAGTGGATTCAAGCTGAAAGAGATTGAAGTTTCTCAACAGATAATCATGCAGTGTCAGAAACTGCAGATTCAGCTTGTTCAAAGCTAGGACGCCTAAAATTGCAAATTTATCGAACTGTTGAATGAATCAAGTTCGCAAAAGGTGTTTACATAACCTTCGCCCGAGTAGTTTTCATATGGTACAACATTTTCATCCCAAATAACTTGTTCTGTTGGATACAGGGGCTGCTCGTTGAGTTGTTGAAGTTGATTTACTCGCCGTTCACAGTGAAGTGTCTGCAAGAACTATTTCATTCGCAACAATCGTTACCTATTCGCAGTCGTGATTTACAACGTATAATCAAATAAAAAAGATGAAAACTTTGCAGAAGAATTACTTACAATGGTTTCCGTGAGAAATTCCTTGGAATACGTTTCCAGTTGTGATTCTTCGCTATCCATTGGTGGAACGAGAT